TAGTGGGAGATCTAGATTGTCAACAAACTGAGTCACAGTGTTAGAGTGCTCTCGCCATCAGCAATACAACAACCCCAACGTCCTCTTGTTTTTCTCACCTTCTAGAAACCACATGTCCCCATACACAGCGTCAGATAATACAATTTCAAAATCTGTCTGAACTCTAATGCCATAATTGCGTATGAGCGAGTATGTTTTTTTATTTTTACTAGATCCCACGCTGACAATAGGTACGAGTATGAGTTACTCTAATTGGCATATTATAGCTTTGTGTGCCATTTCAGGAGCTGTGCAATGAGACTTAGGGTGTGGGTTGTGGTGATATCATGAAACTCTCCACAGGCAATGAGTGCGTAAAACTGAGTTACGTCTGTCAGGTTCTTTGACGGAGGCATCATACGCAGTACTCGTACGTCCTAGGGACGTATACAATATACCAACGCGTAACATTGAGATAGGAGACAGGGATACATAAGAGTTAATAAGATATGCTGATGTGCAGATACTTGTGTAGTGTATGCTGCATGTGTACGTGTCGGTCATCAGATATTTATAATCAGCTGTGTATATGCTAACCCTACTTCAGATCCGTGTGCACGCAACACAGATGGCAATGTTGGTCCTTTTCTCAAAATTTGTTGTTGCAGTGAAGCATGTTGGTGGTGTACATTGCAGAGTGATCAAAAATTTTTTTTAACTTTCAGATTCAACTCTATGTGCTGATGGTAAGCTTTTCATTCACAAATGTTTTCACTCATGTGATAAATTCATCCAGGCTGTCCTCCCCCTTTACCTTGTCCTGGTATCGTCCTCTTGATGACTTGTTTCAAAATGATCTTGTTTTACTCAAACTATTCATGTGTTCAGATTGTGATGAGTGCCAAGCTAGAAGTGTTGGTCTAGTTCGCTATCCTACTACACTAGCTCCAGCCAGTGGATCAGTGACTGTCGCTACACAGTGTGCTGACAATGCACACGTCAGAACTGGCTTTAGTCTGAATGTCAGGTGTAGCTCTAGTGGTGGCTGGTCTGGTACAACTCCTCAGTGTGAATGTGATACTGGATATCGTGCAGTCACTCTTAGTGGGAGGCAGATTTGTCAAAGTAAGCATTTTAGTGGCTACCATCTTTCACATGATTCACTCTGTTTTCTACAGGTGTTAATACATGCCCAGCTAGAAGTTTTGGTCTAGTTGACTATCCTACTACACTAGCTCCAGTCAGTGGATCAGTGACTGTCGCTACACAGTGTGCTGACAATGCTCACGTCAGAACTGGCTTTAGTCTGAATGTCAGGTGTAGCTCTAGTGGTAGCTGGACTGGTACAACTCCTCAGTGTGAATGTGATACTGGATATCGTGCAGTCACTGTTAGTGGGAGGAAGATTTGTCAAACCGATGGTAAGAATTAGAGTGCTCTCACCACACTTGAAACAAAAACCCAACGTTCTCTTGTTTTCCCCCTTCAGAAACCACGTGTCCCCCAACAACAGGTCAGATAAACGTTTGAACTGTTAATGCCATAATATTGCTCTTACTATTATGTTTTTTTAATTTTTCCAGATCCACCGTCAATAGGTAAGAGTATGATGTTACTAATTTGCCATATTATAGCTTTGTGTGTCATTTCAGGAGCTGTGAATGAGACTAAGGTGTTGGGTTGTGGGCTCATATCTTGGAAGCCTCCACCAGGCAATGAGGGAGTAAAACTGAGTTACGTTGTCAGGTTCTTTGACGGAAGCACATACGATACTAGTAGTGGCTACAAAAGAATACAGCGCAACAGTGAGATAGGGAGACAGTGGACAAGAGTGAATGATATTCCTGATGGTAGAACTGTGTATGCTGATGTGAGTGGGCAATATTTATAATCAGCTGTGTAGATGATAACACTACTTTCAGATCCGTGCAAGAAACACAAGTGGCAATGTTGGTGTTTTTTCTCAAAAATTTGTTGTTGCCAGTAAGCATGTTGGTGGTGTAACATTACAGAGTGATCAACAAATTTTTGTTTAATTTTCAGATTCAACTCTATGTGCTGATGGTAAGCTTTTTTATTCACAAATGTTTTCACTCATGTGATTAATTTCATCCAGACTGTCCTCCCCCTGTACTATGTCCTGGTACGTCCTCTTGGTGACTTGTTTCAAAATGATATTGTTTTACTCAAACTATTTCATCTGTTCAGATTGTGATGAGTGCCAGGCAAGAAATGCTGGTCTAGTTCATTATCCTACTACACTAGCTCCAGCCAGTGGATCATTGACTGTCACTACACAATGTGCTGACAATGCTCACGTCAGAACTGGCTTTAGTCTGAATGTCATGTGTAGCTCTAGTGGTAGCTGGACTGGTACAACTCCTCAGTGTGAATGTGATACTGGATATCGTGCAGTCACTGTTAGTGGGAGGCAGATTTGTCAAACTGAAGGTAAGTATTAGAGTGCTCTCGCCACACTTGTAACAAAAAACTCTTGTTTTTTCACCTTTAGAAACCACATGTCCTCCAACAACAGGTCAGATAAACAATTAAAATGATGTTTGAACTCTTGTGATGAGTGCTGTTATTTTGTGCCCATCCACAGGTATAATCAATATCTGACTCCATCATCTCCCCCAAGTAAACCCTATAATTTAAATTAATTGCTTTTTTTACAGGCGTTACATGCGCTGTTAGAACTGTTGGTCTAGTTCGCTATCCTACTACACTAGCTCCAGCCAGTGGATCAGTGACTGTCTCTACACAGTGTGCTGACAATGCACACGTCAGAACTGGCTTTAGTCTGAATGTCAGGTGTAGCTCTAGTGGTGGCTGGACTGGTACAACTCCTCAGTGTGAATGTGATACTGGATATCGTGCAGTCACTGTTAGTGGGAGGCAGATTTGTCAAACTGAAGGTAAGTATTAGAGTGCTCTCGCCACACTTGTAACAAAAAACTCTTGTTTTTTCACCTTTAGAAACCACATGTCCTCCAACTACAGGTCAGATAAACAATTAAAATGATGTTTGAACTCTTGTGATGAGTGCTGTTATTTTGTGCCCATCGACAGGTATAATCAATATCTGACTTCATCATCTCCCCCAAGTAAACCCTATAATTAAATTAATTGCTTTTTTACAGGTGTTACATGCGCTGTTAGAACTGTTGGTCTAGTCGCTATCCTACTACACTAGCTCCAGCCAGTGGATCAGTGACTGTCGCTACACAGTGTGCTGACAATGCACACGTCAGAACTGGCTTTAGTCTGAATGTCAGGTGTAGCTCTAGTGGTGGCTGGTCTGGTACAACTCCTCAGTGTGAATGTGATACTGGATATCGTGCAGTCACTCTTAGTGGGAGGCAGATTTGTCAAAGTAAGCATTTTAGTGGCTACCATCTTTCACATGATTCACTCTGTTTTCTACAGGTGTTAATACATGCCCAGCTAGAAGTGTTGGTCTAGTTGACTATCCTACTACACTAGCTCCAGTCAGTGGATCAGTGACTGTCGCTACACAGTGTGCTGACAATGCTCACGTCAGAACTGGCTTTAGTCTGAATGTCAGGTGTAGCTCTAGTGGTGGCTGGACTGGTACAACTCCTCAGTGTGAATGTGATACTGGATATCGTGCAGTCACTGTTAGTGGGAGGAAGATTTGTCAAACCGATGGTAAGAATTAGAGTGCTCTCACCACACTTGTAACAAAAACCCAACGTTCTCTTGTTTCCCCCCTTCAGAAACCACGTGTCCCCCAACAAACAGGTCAGATAAACGTTTGAACTGTTAATGCCATATTGCTCTTACTATATGTTTTTTTATTTTTCCAGATCCACCGTCAATAGGTAAGAGTATGATGTTACTAATTTGCCATATTATAGCTTTGTGTGTCATTTCAGGAGCTGTGAATGAGACTAAGGTGTTGGGTTGTGGGCTCATATCTTGGAAGCCTCCACCAGGCAATGAGGGAGTAAAACTGAGTTACGTTGTCAGGTTCTTTGACGGAAGCACATACGAAACTAGTACTAGTGGCTACAAAAGAATACAGCGCAACAGTGAGATAGGGAGACAGTGGACAAGAGTTAATGATATTCCTGATGGTAGAACTGTGTATGCTGATGTGAGTGGGCAATATTTATAATCAGCTGTGTAGATGATAACACTACTTTCAGATCCGTGCAAGAAACACAAGTGGCAATGTTGGTCTTTTTCTCAAAAATTTGTTGTTGCCAGTAAGCATGTTGGTGGTGTAATATTACAGAGTGATCAAAATATTTTTGTCTAATTTTCAGATTCAACTCTATGTGCTGATGGTAAGCTTTTTTTAATCACAAATGTTTTCACTAATGTGATTTAATTCATCCAGGTTGTCCTCCCCCTTGTCTTGGTATGTCTCTTGGTGACTTGTTTCAAAATGATCTTGATTTATTTCAAACGCATCTGTGCAGATTATGATGAGTGCCAAGCAAGAAGTGATGGTCTAGTTCGCTATCCTACTACACCAGCTCCAGCCAGTGGATCAGTGACTGTCACTACACAGTGTGCTGACAATGCTCACGTCAGAACTGGCTCTAGTCTGAGTGTCAGGTGTAGCTCTAGTGGTAGCTGGACTGGTACAACTCCTCAGTGTGAATGTGATACTGGATATGAGGAAGATGACGACAAGTGCAAAGGTTAGATATTTTAAAGTTAGCATCTTTTTATTTGACTTTTATACCCCCAGCCAAAGAATGTCCTCCTGACATTTACAACATTACTGACATACCAAGGCAAGGTCTGTTGCATATCAGTTCACTTATGAAAATGAGATACTTTTCAGCATTATTACGAAGTGTGAAGTTTGTGGTTGGAAAATCTTATATGAGTACAATTACATTGTTGTTGATTAAGACCTTCCTAACTTGTTTATCTTTAGATTTAGATCTGAAGATAGTATATGGATATGTCCATCTCTCGTGGGACACGGTAGCTCTTGAAACTACACTAGTTTTCTACGAGGAGAGCAAAAACAAGCCAGCAGTGCACACCTATAAAACTACGGATGACTACTACCATCTTCAGATCAATACAGACAAGTGGTTGGTGGATATAAATGACGAGACAATGATTATCGTGCAGGTATTGTTTAAAAAAACTGCTAGTTGATTAGGAACAGACTTTATCTGGATTCTCAGAAATACTTTAAAATATTCATTTTTTTGGTGAAAGTTATATTTTTTGACTGGGGTATTTCTGAAAATCCAGAGATTTTAGTTTGATAGTTAGAAATTTTGGGCACTTAAAAGAACGCAATTAATTTATATGGAATATGTTTTACAGATTAATAATCAGGCGAGAGAGCGAAGAGAAACAGAAAACGACACTTCCACCACATTTGAATTCACCAAGAAAGGTTGTTTACCAGCGCAACCTAGTTTTCCGGCTCTAATTTCTTTTCTCCCCACAGAAATCAGAGAGAAGCTCGATACATTCTCAGAGTGCGTAACACAAAAAAGACAATCAGAAATTCCCGACACTGAATCCGTCGTCGATGGAACGTCCCTCGCCATAGCTATCTTGCTGACCTTTGCACTGACGGCAGCCGCAGTGGTTTTTCTCTCCATCTCGCTCGGTCTCATCCTTCGCAAACGATCCGAGATGAAGAGAGAAAAGTCGTCAAAAACTGCCGACGGAGACATTTCCTTGAATGATTACGATGAACAGAAGACTAGTAGCTATTAATTTGGTCCCTTTCATCACAAACAACTTTTGCACATACGTAGTTGTTCTTGCATAACCTGGCTTATGAAGCCATTTAATTTGTAACGCCTCCATTATTATACTTTTCGTAATCGATTCAGGTGTGTTTTTCAGGTATTGCCATATTTCTCCATGGAGTCCTAACAGAGTGGGTGTTAGAGTGTGTGTAGCTACTACCCACTGCCTACTCCTGGCGGTGTAACAGTGCTTACTATAGTACTACCAACAATACTACGTGTAGTAAGTTGAAGTTCTCTAAGCCAAAGATATCATTCACCATAAACTCTTTGGGTCCACAGAGGCCATGCATTATATCATGCACCGCAGTGTGTATATACAACACTTATAGTGTGTATTAGAGAGTCGGTAGACTCTCTATATAGGGATGACGCGGGTGAAATCTCACGTGATCCGCGTACAAAACGACTAAAAACTCGGTGAGAATCTCTTCCTAGGCCTTCAAAACATACTAGCAATAGTCTACGGGCCCATATCTACCTATACATGTCCCACAAGAGCTCAAATGCACCTTCAGTCGTCCACGCGAGAATTCGCTCATACGCGATTTCACGATTTTCGTGTCATCATATTCTTCATCTTCTTCTTCTTCTTCTTCTTCTTTAAACCCGCTATCTCCTTACCAGTACCAGTTCAAGCACTGATTTTTTCACTGAAGGTCTCCAATTTCGCCGGAGGTGTGCACGGACATCAAGCGATCGTTTCTTTCTTGCCGCTAGTCACTACGGTAGATCATGGAGCTCTTCCCTGGTCGACCTGAACAACGCCATTTGCTGCTTACTCAGCATCAGTGATCCGCGCGCATGCGCCAGGCAGGGGCGTTGTCCAATGTGCTTGCGAGCGTATTCTACCGGGCGAGTTGGCAGACCTGCAGAGGAACTGTCAGCCTCCAGTACCTTCTGTAAGTAAGTGTGCACATTTCCAACTGGCTATCTTGCTGTTGATATGCACGAAGAGCAACTTGCCAGAGTCTGCGCGGTGTTACGCGAGCCTTGCGGGGCACTCAGTCAAATGGGCCTTCATTGTTTGTCCCCCCCAGGTTGTAGCCTGATTACCAAAGCCTGCCAATGAAACCACAACCATGTGCAATAATCTAATTACATCCTTGTTGAAGACAATACATGGTATCTAGCAGCCATTAGCTACTACTTTCAATTTATCTATGGTAGCCTATCTACAACATAGCCATGAACATCAGAGTGACTGTAACAATGAAAAGCACTGAAGGGCAAACCCTCGGCGCATTGTGACGCGCACGCGTAAGTAAACGCATGCGCCGTACCACTAATTGATGGGCTGGGTTTAGTTTTAGCTGTTACTCGTGGTCTCTTCCCAGCTCGCGCAGAGTCTGACGCGGGCTAACTACACTACTAGATAGCATGCGAGAGGCGATACACGCCCTGCGTTGCATCTTCTGGTGCCTCTGAGGTACGCAGAGCACGCGGATCGATCAGACCGTGGTATATAAGCCTTCCCGTCCGTTGCCTATTTGCATATTGGCTTTTTCGCGCTCTAGCTCTGCAACGAAGCAGTTTCAGAGAAAACCCCACATATTTTCTGACCTTCATTGCCCGTTCAGTAGGTGGTATCCTTTGTGAGACGAACGAACATCTCGAGAAGTGAGATGACGAGTAACAGACAGACACACAGACAGACAGACAGACGAAACCCAACTACAGTAACCCTCGCTGCGCATGCGCGCCGAGGGTTAATAAATGCAGTGTGTGCCAGAAGCTGTTAAAAATAGTGGAAACAAGTGGAAAAATCATTTCTTCAAATGAAAGGGGGATATAGGGATGGCTTGAAGCACCAAAAAGAAGAAACAAGGGGTCATTACACAGCAAAGTTGCACAAAGCTACATGACACCATCCCTATATCTTTGTTGTTATATATACAGCTCTGTAATAGAGGTTGTCTTGCATGTATACTTAGCTCAAGGGAAACTTTGCTTATAAACAATAAAACAAAGATATAGGGATGGTGTCATGTAGCTTTGTGCAACTTTGCTGTGTAATGACCCCTTGTTTCTTCCTTTTTGGTGCTTCAAGCCATCCCTATATCCCCCTTTCATTTTGAAGAAATGATTTTTCCACTTGT